CAGCCGATCAGGCAAATTTCTGCTGCCCAATCAGCAGACTTTGCTGCCACTGCAGCCCTGTCAGAATACAAAATGCACTTCTTTGATCTGGTTTTCTCTAACACAAGTACATAGCAGAGTGCCCATAAAAGAATTAAAATGAGAATTAAACCTCCAAAACAAGCCAAATAAATATCAAAGAAAAACATTTCACTGGACAAACAATTCTCTCCTTAAAACAGAAGCTTAAGAGAGACTCAACTACATAGCACATTATATTCATGTAACTTCATGTACGTATGGAAAATACTAGATACTGTAAGGCACAGGAAGCTATACAGCATGAGGTATTAAACTCGTTTGGTGATCACAGGGATTCTTGTACACTAGATAACACACCTCCAGTGGCATGGCCAGGGGCAGCGGCATTAATCCGCTATGTTCTGGCCCCAGCAACATGGTAGCTCTGGAAGACATAGGGGTTAATGCTACCACTGCTTTCCACACTGCCGCAGAATTGTATCTGCAACAGGGATCACAACCTGGAAATTTGCTAGCAAGGCATGTGGGAGTGGTGTTAACTCCCATGATCACCTGAGCTGTTGTGCTGGAGGGCCTGCACCCTGGGGGATAATGCAGATGATGCTGCAGGGGATCTTGACTCAGAATTTGGGTGACAGGGTGAATGCTGGCAGTGTTAAACCTGCTGGGTGCTGGCCCTGCTGACACAACAGCTCTGGTAGTGGTGAACACTGCCTAGTATAGATCCCTGTAGGAAACCCTGCACGCTAAATGACCCACCTCTGCATGCTAGATCCAGACTGCAGGCTGTATATTTGAGATCCCTGCTATACAGAACAGAATGGACTGAAGAGAATTCATCCTTAAAATGAAATGGGTCAACTAGCTTAGTCAAACTATAGTGATAGCTGATGGGAGAAAAAAAGCAAAACAACACATAAGTTGGCTTCTAGCTGCTAACAAATTTATACTGGAGTTAGAAAGAGATTGGAATGAGGTGGAGGGAGGAGGGGGAGGAAGATTCCCCAGTAAAAGTCCTTACAGGACTATGCCAGTTCTATCACAACTTGGAATCCTGTTTATAAATCATGATCCCTGTTGACTGCCTGGTTGCTTTAACTGTTTAACAGCACTTTCCTGTGACAGTTCAGTCCCGGTGTACCAAGTACTCAGTCAGCCTCAATACATGTTCAAAAGCACTAAATAAAAAGGGATTTAAACAATAAGTCAGAAAAGATGTGGGGGGGCAGGAAGTGGGGAGGACAGAAGAAACGAGAAAAAACATACCTGGTGTTACCGAGCGTACAACAACTGGTTTTTCACTACCAGCCACAAAACCAAATCCCAGAACAGGATCCCTCCTCATTTCCACTTTCCGAGGGGCTGGAGGGGTGATTTGGCAGCTCTCTATTTGAGGGTCTTCAAATGTGGCTGATTGTGTCATGTGACTATGGAAAAATATAAGATAGAAAAGAAAAAATATTATTAAAATTTTGTTGTATGAATTCAGGACAGATAATGTGTGTTACAGCATAGGATGAATACTTGAGCTGCTCTCTCTGGCTGCATCTACACAAGTGGCAGACTGTGTAGTTGTTACTGTGCAATCATTTGGTATCTGAATAAACAAGTACTAAATGACTGCACAGTAATCAACATTACTGCACAGTACCATCGCCGCACAGTTTTTTGCAAAAGCTGCTGTGCAGTAGCAATGAGCTACTGCACACTAGCTTGTTACTACTACACAGTATTGATGCTGCACAGTTAATGCCTGGCAACACTACTGCATGGTTACAACAAGCTATGGCGCAGTAGTTGATTGCTACTACACCGTAGCATCTCATGTAAACGTGCCCTCTGAAAAATCAAAACCTGTTCTAATTTAATGTTTTTAATTTTTGAATTAGGTTTTCTTACACAGAGCTCATTAACTAACTGTTACTAATATCCACATGGAACTTACACTATTTTTCATCCCTTGTTTCAGAAAGGAGGAAAAAAATCTTCTATTTAAAGCATAAAAATCCATAAATGATTTGCAAAAGAAGAAGGACCACAGAGCCCTGAGCTCAGTTTGCACATAGTTGAGTAAGCACAAGCAAACTGGAAATAAAAGTAACACTCAGTTGTATATATCAAGCACAAGTAATTTGTTTTGTATTAGATCAAGAAGATTAATACTGTGGAAAATCAAAAGAATAGTTTAAAAAATGAAGAAAAAGGAAGAAAGAAATAGACCTGATGGATAGTTCTATTTTTTAAATAATATTACTATATTGTTATAATCAGTCCCCCAAAAAACATTAGATACAATTTATTTTGGGAGAACGTCATGATGCACAGGGAAGTATTCAAACCCTGTGCATCAGAAATATTAAAATGAATTCATTTATTAGTGTCCTATCTCTGCAAACAGAAGTTTCATATCTGACAAAGAAATGTGGTTTTCTAAGCATGAAGGAAAAATGAATAGGAAAGTTGCCTGGTGTGATTAATTTATGACAGAGATGATGTTTCAGAAGCATGCAAACTTCAGAGATTCTTATATTAACATGTGACAAACCTTGTGGACACATAAGATATTCATAGATAAGTGTATGAATAAATGTTGTAGATATATGCAGACATATACACATACTTTCTGTTCCTTAGTTAATGAGTGAATTTCTTGTAGAATGACGTTTGGGCTAACACATGCAAATCACCAATGCCAGTTATACAGATACTCAACCCACTAAAGCTTCATCTCCTGGGAGACAGTACTTCCCAGTTCTACTCAAATAAGACACCCCTCATCAGATGCTCTGATGGAGTCAGACTCACTCTAGAACAACAGATTGACAAACATCTATGTAACCACCAAGCTTCTCTGGAGATGATGGGTGATAATTGGTAAGAATACCACAAAAGCAAACTGTTTAAAGTGTTATTATGTGTTGTCTCTGTAATAATTCAGTCCTAAATAAACCTTCACTATACTTTGTGACAACTGGCAGATCACAGTCCTCAGCAGAACACAGATCTGCAGGTAATGAACTAAATCCTGAGCTTCTGGGATAATTACTCAATTGTGGAGGAGCAGCAGCCCTAAAACCTCAGTCTAGAGAGAAAAGAAAACAAATTCCTTTCTCAATACAGGTGATAGCTAGAGGTTTAAGACCTAAGGGACAAGCCCTGGCAGAGGCCATAAAGGGGTCAGAGATGCAGTCAACAATAGAATTGCCACTGTTACTGGTTTGGAAGTCAGTACCCCTGGAAATGCACGGACTGAAGTTCTGAATAGCAGAAGCAAGTCAACACCTAGCTGTGTACTAGGGCTGTGCGAAGCCTTGGGTGCTGATTCGATTTGGAAGAGATTCAGCCCGACACGGTAGCCCAAGCTCCAAATCTGAATTGAATAAGGGGACCAATAAAAAGGTCCAAATCGATTCGAAACTCTCCGAATCAATTCGTAAAAGATTTGGAGAGCTTCGACGATTTGGGCAGTCCCCACCTGCTGCAGCAGGGAGCTGGAGCCAGACTTGGAGCTGGTA